TAAATGTCACTTTTGTTGAATTTTTAATTTTTTAAAAATTTGTCACAGAGGTGGCACTTTTACTATTTGTAAAACGCCACCTTTGTAGAGAATAGAGGTGGTTTTTCAACATAGTTTAAATGCCACCTCTCTTTGTTTTTTTTAAATAAAATCAAAGAGGTAGTGTTTGCAGAAAGAAATGCCCTTGCTCTTTCATTAGTTTTGTGACATTTCAATAATTAATGAAACACCATTTGATACCTATTATATTATTGAATTTTATAACATTTTATAAACTTTACAAAACTAAAATTTAAACACCACCTATATCCATTTCTATAGTAGTGATCTCATCATTGTACCCTTCATTCGACAATTTGCTTGTTACAGATATTGGACCCTCTCGACATCAAATTCTAAGGAGAACTTAGACTATAAATTGTTTTAATTGATATCAACAATTTGTCTGTTACAAGTCTACTTATTTCATGCAAGTGGATAGTGTCCAAACTAATTTTTAAATATAATTATTTTTAATTAAATATTATATTTTTATGTAGAACATTTTAATAGCAATAATGTCAATTTTTGGATTTTTTTAATTAAATTACTTTATTTTGTGAAATCTAAAATATGATGGTGAAGAATAATTAAATTGTGGCATATGCATGTACTTCTTCCCATATATACATTTCATACTGATGAAATTATCTTTACTAGATTTGATAATTTTAGCTTAGCAATAAATGTAAGTTTGGCCATTACTGTTGAAATTTTATTTCGGTAATTATTGAATTGATGCCTAAAAATATTCATGTGAGTTTGATTGAAATTTTTATTTTAATGTTGAAGATTTCTTGCATGTTTAAAAATGAAGTAGAAAGGGACTTATTCAAAACATTGGTTGCTAACGACAATTTTATTATCCCTTGGTGCGCCTGTGTTAATAAACTAACTAGTTTGATTATTGTGAATTTTATTTTCACATTTGTTATTCATGGGGCTAACACCTGTATTTGTTTTTTGTGGTTTTAAGCTGTGTTTTATTAGTATCACCCTCATAGATTGTATGTTCACATTTGTTTTATAGTTCAGATTGTGATTGTTTACTTACTTTTATGGACTGTGTGTCCACGTTAGTCTTTATAGTATAAGCTACATTTGGTTATTTATTCTCATGGATTTGTGTCCACATTTATTAATTGTTCTGAAAGTCTCCAGACACATGAGTTTTGACTAATTGGTGATTTATATTCCACTTGATTTTAATTAGTGATGTTACTATATTTATTTATTCCATGTATTTGTTTTTGAATTAAGTGATAAGAATATTTGATATGATAATTTAATAGTTTAAAATTTTATTTAAGGTTATATAGAGTCTCTTAATTTGAAGTTCTATTTACAGGGAAGGTTTTGTTAAAATTTTTATAAAAATATTAAATTTTTGTTATAGTGGTTATTATTAAATATATCATAATCTCAGTATAAATTCAATTACGTTTTAAAAATGGAACGATTCCTCAATTTAAGATTTAGGGAATGTGTGATATGGTTCACATGTTGGTGTCAATCACATTCAATTTTTGGGGCGTGACAATAATCCATATTTAATCTGAACAGTTTAGATTAAATGTTTTCATATTTTATTTTTATTAAAATAAAAATATAAAAAATTATAAACAATTAATAACTCTGCTCATCAACTAACAGTTTAAATTTATCATAGATAATCTAATTTAATATAAAAATTTAACATTGACTACAATGCAGATATACTCCGAACAATGCAGTCAACTTATTAAAAATATTTAATATTAAAATTGGACTATCCATATCAAATCTAGACTGTCTAAATTGATAAAGAGATTTATTAAAATTTATATATATTTTTTATTTTAATAAATATAAAATAAAAATAAAAATAAAAATAAACATGAACCGTTGAGATTAAATCTGGATAGCCTAATATTTTACTTTGCTGCAGCGGAGACACGGAGGTAGGATTTAGGGAGGAGAGAAACCGAGGCAGTAATGAAATAGAATAGGATCTTATGATGTTGCCAAGATTCATCGATTTTTGTATCGGAGAGATGTAATTTTCCTTAATATTACATCAATATTTTTCAATGTTCCTTATTTTTCGTTCAGGTGAATGGGAAATTGGGAATTGAGTTAAAAGGGATGAACAAGATGATTGTTTTGTAAAGTCAGCAACAGGTAATCATGTACGAGTATGTTGATGATCTGTTTAAAAAAGAAAAAAGAGTAGAAATGGAAGTAAAGAGACATGAAATAAGACAACGTAGCCTAACTCAACGTGTAATTTTTTCTTTTTTTACTTATGCAAGAAGAAAAATTTATTAGGGCCAATTAGGGATCGCAAGCCTCACAAAGGGATGCAAAAAGTACAACCACAACTAAGAAAACAACCATAAACGACCACAACTTCACTAAGAAGGAAATCATTTAGCCAACAGATATGCTATAAAAAGCACATTTTGTTGTAAATTTTATTTAGATAATTTGTAAATTTCATCTCCTTAAACAAAATTAAACTATATAAAATAAATGAAAATTTTGTTATAAATAAATGGACTTTAAATGTTATGTATGGAGCTTTTGTTATAAATTTTATATAGGTAATTGTAACTTTTTTCTCTTTTTATAACAATAAATTATGTGAAATTAACCGATGTTTTGTTATTAATAAATATAATTTGAACGTTATTTATGAAGCTTTTGTTGTAAATATTATTTAGGGACTTGTAAATTTTTTCTCATTCAACAAGTAAACCATGAGGATTATGTAAAATGAATGAACATTTTATTATTAATAAATACACTTTAAATGTCATTTATGAATGTTCTATTATATATTTCACAAACAAATAATACCTTTTTTAATTTAAAAACTTAATTTTAAGAGAGACTTTTAGACCTTTAATGAAAAAATTTTGGTTCTCTGGACTTGCATTATAGTAAAGCTGTTTTTGTAATCATCTCAGGCTTTTTCTAGCCTGCCTTTGTATTTCTTTTTTAAAAAAATTGTAAAGCCGTCTTTGTTTTTCATTTTATGTTTTTAATTGCTTTCTTCTACGCACGCGGGGACACTCTTTTTGCGTCAATTAATAGAGGGCATAATAGTAATTATAGGCACAACTTTATGACTTTTAAAGTCACAGTCCTCGATCAGTTTCTCTGACGGCTGTGTCTTCGGGCGCGTTTGATTTTTAATTTGTAAAAAATCAGTTTGATAAAAAATTTATTTAATAAAAATTAATTTAGTTAAAGTAAGTTTTTTTAATAAAATTTGTGTTTAAATATATTTTTTAAAAGTCAATTTAAAAAATTAAAAGTTATTTGGATTAATAAAAATTTATGCTTTTAAAATATACTTTTTAATGTATAATGAACAAAAAGGACATTAAGTTATAATAATTTATATTTTTATTATACAAATATAATATATTAAAAATATTTAAAAATGTGAAACAAATTTAAAATAACATAAAATTTAAAATGTTAAATAATAAGAATAAAAAATATAAAATTTAATTTTGAAAAAAAATTATGTAATAAATAGTTAAACATTCATTAATATTGAATAGTTACATGATTAACGATTCGATCCATAATATACAATCTGATCTCTAATATAATCTCGAACCCTATTCATCTCTCTATCAGAAGTTACGCTTGAAATTGCACTTGAAATTGTTGATGAAAATACATGCTCATTATTATCATCATTATTGTTAACCATATTTTCATCTTTAAAATGCCTAAAGTCAGAATCAATTATAGATTTTCTTCTAATAAAATTATGTATAGCTAGGCATGTGTCGTAAGATTGCGAATCTATTTTTTTCAAACCTCGAAAGTCCTTTCAATTGTGGTCCTTAAGCTTGAATGATAATAATTAAAAACCTCATTATTGTTTGCAAATCCAGATGAACGCCTGAAATCTAAGAGATGATATCTATGAGATCTATAAGGACCTAAATATCCACGTGGTGTTAGATAGTCGGCATCTAACAAATAATATTCACCTACCAATAAAAAAAATAGAAATTGTAAGATCCCAAAAAATATTAAAAATTATTTTAAATTAGATAAATATGAAATATACCTTTGGTGGATGTGAAAATTTCATGTCCGGCCTTATGAGTGTATTGTCAAACAAACGAGCATCATGAGCAGTCTCTTCCTATCCAGCCATGACATAAGTGAAGCACATATCCTAATCACATGCAGCCATTATATTTTGTGTTGGAATATCTTTCCTTCCAATATATTTCCCTTGCTCTTCAACACTGACCACACATGGGATATGTGTTCCATCAATTGCTCCTACGGCATTTTTAAAGAATGGCCAATATCGCGAATCATCTAAATCTTTTGATTGGATATATTCCTTTGCTATCTTCTCACAAGCATGCAATACATTTCTAAAACGTCTGTGAATAGTCTCTGTTGAATGTTGAAATCGTTCTTGTGCCATCCTATTCCCCACTTCATGTCCAACAATATTTAGGAACATACCAATCATTTCATGAATCCCTGTTCTTCTGGTTGGACATAGGCCATGTTGCACTAGTTTATTACAAAGTTGAAGAAAAACATCTTTTTCCATATGAAATATGTCATAACGACGCTGAGGATGCCCTTGCAAAATTTCTTGCACTATGCATGACATGATTGCGAATTGGTTTTACAAGACTCTTTCAATAAAATTGTTGAGTAATTAGATACTATTGTAGTAATTGCCTTAACCTCATCATCTTCGCATGTACAAGTAATTGTAATAAGCGAGACTGCAAATTTTCATTCATACAAACTGCATAACATAATTTAACAACCATTACACCATTGTTTATGACTTAACATAAGAAACATATAAACCAAGAGTCAAATAACACAGTTAGTTTCAAAACAAATTAACAATATGAACGACACTATTTAAAACATTGACAACGCAAGCTAGGATTGATCTAATTTGCTTTTTTGCCCAATCACTTCTAATAAGCCACTAATGCTCTTCTGTTATCCCTAAGCCCAATATACATGTCCCTTGCGGTCTTATCTAGTAAGGTCACAACACACTGTCCAAGAAGCACCTCATCACAAGAAATCTCTTCAATTCCATAAAGTTTCTTTGCAACATCTACTATAATTTGATCAATTAGTTTTGTTCCACCCTCTATGGAATTAAGAATTAACTTCAATGTTGAAACCCTATCCTCTTATGTGGACACCAATCGACTCACTGAATCAACCATTATAGTTGCAAGACATTTTCCCTTCTTGTTTTGACCACTTTCACCTTTCTTTCGCTTGCTCCCTGAATTAGTACCACCACTATATGTATTATTCAAGTTAACCTACTCAATTTTTGGGAGAGTTCCTCCACTAATGTTTCTTATATCATCACTATCTCCTAATCCTTCAGTCAAATCCAATTAAGGCCTATACACATCTTGTGGATCATCAGCCGCAGGTGTCCACATGTAAGTGCCCCATGCTGCAATTGGTTGGAACAACGGTGTCAATTCTTGTACATATAGAAGTGGTCTATGTCTGAATTTCTTATACTCAGGATTCTCCTGCACATTTACAAGAATCGAGTCCAGTATATTTATAAAATAAAATATCAAATGTATAGCATGCCATATATAATTGTATACCTTAATCTTTTGATTCCACCACTCCTCTGGTGCTAAAACAGTATTCTTTTCACTATCCCATCCCAAATCAGTCTCTTTGTTCAACAGTTTGTCCCGTATATTCCAATCTTTCCTCAAATTGTCCTATTTGTTCTTCAACTGCTTCTTATCATAGCTTCTAGAGCTCAAAGCATTAAACTATTGCATTGCATTAGTGCCTCCCAACCTTCCTTTGATAAGGTAGAGCCTTTATGCTTATTTTTCCTAACTTGCTGGAGAGCCAATTTAATGAACAATTCGGTCTCTTTGGTAGTCTATAGTGCCTTCTCTTTACTCATTTTTACTATCAAAATATCATATTCTCAATACAAATGGAATTTGAGGAGTAAAAATCCATAAATGAGTTAGACTTAAAATATTAAAAATTTTGCTATCCTTTTTTATTAATGAAAAGCCAATAATAATTGTATTTTTTGTTTTTTTGGAAACAAAGAGAAAAAGATTATTCGATCATGGTTAATTAACCACTTGTTATCTTAGCCACATATACTTGTTGAAAGAGGCTGTTATTCAAAAGTAGCCATAATCAGATGGCTTGATAATTTTCAGACTCACTCAAAAATTCAGATCATATGATTCAATAGTATGTATTAAAAATAAGCAAGTTTGACCAAAAATTTGCAGTCTTTCTCATCCCTTCACCAGTTTTTAAAAAATGAATGAGTTCAAATTCCTATCAAAATGAAACTGAAGAAAAAAAACAAAGCAAAATAGAACAATCAATAGATCAGTCACCAGAACATATTCCCAAAACATGGTGTCATATTCCCAGAACATCAACATATCAACAAAATAATCATGAAATACAGTCATAAATAATGATCGATCTCATCCATCCCATTACATGTTCTTGTTCTGCGTAAAAGATGACAATTAAAAAAAAAACCTCACACCAGTCACACAGAACAGAGGCTTCACAATGATTAAAAAAAAAAGAAACAGATTAGATCGAAGAGAAAAACAGAGGACCACCATTTCATCTATTAATGCAAAATAAAGCACCACCATTTCCAGATCTAGCAAAAAATGCTTGGAGGCTATCAGATCGAAGAGCAGATTGGAGAAGAGGGTCAGAGTTTGACGAGCTAGTTTGAATGTTTAGTTTTGCACTCTACAAGTTGCAAATCCAGCTGGTTAGAGTTCTCTTAGCTCTGAAATGTCATCTAAGTCCCAAAATGAGCTTGATTTATGAAAGAAATGAGGAGAAATTAGATGGTGGAATGCAACGATCGTTAATGAAGGAAGGAGGAGCTCAGGGAAGGAAGAGATGAGGAGCTCCAGATCTGCGAGATGGCAGAGGAGAGGCAAAGGAGAGAAGGAGAAGAGATGGCCGAGTAGTGGACGAGCAACGGACGACCGGTGGTCGAGTAAGATGAGAGCAGCAGCAAAGAATGAGAGACGAGTAGCCAGCTCAGTTGCATGAACGAGAAAAAGAAAAAGGAGGGTATCATGGTCAATAAAAATATTAAGCATCATTCATAAATGCCCAATGCCACATATCACATTTCAAAAGCAACACCAAGGAGCTTTTGCCTTTTTTCCATTTCAAACGTATTTGGAAGCTATTCTTGAAAGCATATTCTATCTGAAAAAAAAATCCAAACAACATTTCACATTTGAAAAGTTAAAATCTACTTTTGGAATGTAAATGGGGGTGTATCCAAATGCATACTTAGTTTCTCTCGCAGTTCTCTTCACGCCACCATCAGTGCCATCACTCGCTCAACTTGCTCTCACTTTCGTGCTCTGGTGGGGGTGACGTTGACATATATTATCTCTTTTACTCCCACTCACTCATTATCAGCTTTGTCTTCATCTGTTCATATTTGGGCATTCATCAGTCTTTTTCACCAAAAAGAAGAAATGCTTTCTATGATTTGGGAATTAATTTTAAATATGAGTTGGGAATTTGTCTTCTAGGCTTAGGATCATTTTGATTGCATAACAAGTCTCATACTTATCTTCATTAATGTTGAACTTCATCACTTCTTATGATTTATTGTGTGAAGAATGAACAACTTTTCACGTGGGCCAATTTCTATGCTCTCTAGATTTTTTATCTACTAAGAACTAACGATGAACACCATAATACTAACTAATATGTATAGATTTTGATCGAACACATAATTAAGTCATTGTTATGCGGACACTCTCTCCATTGCTATTTATAATGCAGATTTTAAAAGATCATTTGGTCTTATTTACAAATTATGGTATAGTTTTTTTAGATAATATTTAAAATGTATTTTTAAAATTATTTTTATAAAAGAGTTAAAATAACATAACATTATTTTTTAAATTTTTTATAAGGACATGTATAAAATTTTACACACTTCTATTTTTTTTTATTTTTTTACATCGATATTGGCGAGGTTGGTGAGAATAAAAAGTACTTCACATCATGCAATTTTTTGTTTTTAGTCATTTAGTAATGATATGCCCTATTTGGTTGCATGAAATTGAGATAGGAGAAGTGGAATTAAAAAATCAAAGTTGTTTGGTATAATGGATCTCATTCCATGGGAGAATTGGGTTCCATCAAAATTGAGAGAACTAACTTTCTCATATTCATAGAAGTGGAACCTAGGCCACTTCTTTTCTCACTTTCTTCATAAAAAACACCCACTTCTATGTACGAACCAATATGCTTTGAAACTTTATTTCCACTTCACTCTCTCTTCCACTCTCACTTGCAATTTGAAAATAGCACTGGCTATTAAAAAAAGTTGCCTAAAAAATTATAGAAAATGACATAAAAAATTATAAAAAAGCATCCTATAAGAAAACTAATATCAATTAAATTCTCAAAATAGTGTGATAATTTATAACTCTTCTTCTAAAATTTACAAATAGTATTATTTATAAATGAATGCATTTTGTACTCCAGCTATAAATTTTTAAACAAGGATTTATAAATTTGGTGGAAGACTTATAAATTACACTATTATTATTTTTATAGGGTATTTATGTGTATTTTTTTTTTGTCTTCTATAATTTTTGAGATCTTTTTTAGTAATTTTTAAGTCAACTAACTAATAGTTAAAGCTAACTGTTTTAATGGTGGGTTGCCAAGCGCATCATTTTCAAATATTAAAAGGGAAAATTATGTCACATCTAAATTTAGGACACTAGAATCTTCCTAATGAATAGTTGAAAGTCAAAAATGCCCCTTAACCCATGAATTTATTTCTATTTTGTTTAAGTTGTCTTTGTGGGTATTTAATCAATAAAATTATTTTATATTTTGAATTTTATCTTTTAGTGTTTGCCTGCACATCTATCTCAACATTCTCATATCTATTACTCTAAGTTTATATTCCTAATGTCCCTTTAAAACCCAATAAAATTATTTTGTGTTTGGAGCTAATTGTCATTCTGATAGTGGATGGAGGAAACTGATTCAAAATGTGGCATGAGTTAATAGCTAAAGCTTTGGTAGATACTATAGCTAAACTTCATGAGTTGAGGGAAGCACTTGCAGCATGGACTGAAGCATCTAAGGCTAAAGCTGAAGCATCTAAAGCAAAAGCTGAGAGATATAAAGGTGAGACAAGTAAGGAGGCCACTTCTTCTTCTTCGAATTATTCTCTTGCCAAGTGTGTGATTGTTCTTAACCAGATAGAGAATGATGAGGATTCGTATATAAAAGACTTGGAAAAGTTGAAGAACGACCCTGAATGGAGAGAAATTTTTCTTAACATGACACTTTATTGGAAAATGAAATGGGTTTTTGGCATTTATTGTGGAAAGTCAATAGTCTTTATTTTGTTATTGAACTTTAAGATTATGTCATTAAACTTGTTAGTAGTTTATGTTGGAGATCGGATTTATTAGCCTTTATTATGTTATTGAACTCTATGGTTATGTCATTAAACTTATGAGTTTGTATTTTTATTGTACTATAGTACTTTGCTTACAAACTATATTGTGTTTGGATCAATGAAAGTTTAGATTTTACCAAATTCTTTGTGATACTCAAAAATTCATAGATTTGTTCATTTCTTATTGCAATTCTTTTATAATTTCAGATTATTCTTATATTATAATCATTTGAAATTTTAGTCATTTCAAGCATATCATTTTCCTTGTGTTTTTCACAGTCAATGTCTTTACCACTCTTGCATCTTTTCAACCACTATCCTAGGAGTCTAAAAGTTAGCTAGAAGAAGTTTGTTTTATTGGCTTCACATCCTCCTTCAGAAATCTCACAGCCAAACTCAACTTGAATATTTTGATATTTAAGCTCCTTACCTTGCTATCCCTTTTATCAAAGGTCCTATTCCAAAAAAAACTCATGTGGTATATTTGGTCATTATCTTATCTTTATATCTGTGTAATAGCTGTTCCTCCCCTTGAAATGTATCATTTCCTATATGACTCAACTGTTAAAGGTTCAACCTTATGAAAGCTCCTTGAATGGTTCTCACTAGTTTCTAGATGGTGTAGGGAACTCTCTGAAGTAGTTCAAAAAGAATTATTGTGGAATGTCCCTCTACAAGAACAAAATGCCTTTTCCTTCTTCATCATCCGTCATTCTTATCACCTTAACAGTAAAGGAAGGCTTTATACAGCTAACTAAGTTTGTCTATGGAAGACCAACCGCCACTGACTGGACAACATATGAAAATTCCACTTTAATTGAATTAAAAGACTTTTTATGTGAAATGAATAATTATCTGGTTCCAGATCCTCATCTTAAGTGCACCTCCCTCGAACAAATTCCTCACCAGCCTATCTTGTCAAGTAACCCATCTCCATTAGTCATATAGTACCAATTTCTAGAATGGCTCACAAGTCTTACAGTACAAACAGGATACTCTATTCGAATGGAATCCTATGATAGAGCATCATCATCCACTCCTCCATCCTTTCTACCAGATAGCCAAGACCTATATCAGATAGAGACTCATACTTATCAGTTATTTTCAAAGCTAAAAGATACACTTGTACCAGGACCCACTCAAGATATAAATGAAGATTCTTGGGAAGAAGAACAGTTGGAATAGCTCAGACACAATAGCCTTGCTACTAGAAGGCATCGAAAGGAAGAAAAAAATTGGCTCAATCTGTCACATGACCAGGAGTGCATTCATAAAAGTTTGCGTTAATCACAGGAGGAATATGCTTTCAATCATCTGAGCCTTTTTATGTATTTGTCTTGTTGTAATATTGTCAAAAGTCACTTTTGACTTTTGGACAAAGTAGTTTACTTCAGTCATGCCAGTGTATTTTTTCCCTTGCTTTCTACTTTAACCCTATAATTAGACATGTGAAAGATGTTTGTCCACTTGTAATCATGTATAGTTTATGTTCATCCTCCACCTTATGTCCATATAAGGAGGATTCAATTTCACTTGTAAGGCAAAACTCACTTGGCAATAAAATCTTGTGTGTTTCTCAATCATGTCCCTTTAAACCTTTTTCTCTCTTGAAAACTTGACTCTCTAATATCTTGTATATGTCATACTCAGGTTCAAGTATACTCTGCACTTACCTCTCTAAGGAACTTATGCATCAAAAAGAATCTGATCAATGATCCATGTCTATGAGCCTATGTCACTACGCTTAGTGATTCGTGAGTTAAAGTGTCAAGGGGTTAATGATCCAAAAGTGACCTGAGTTTGCCTATGAGAGGTATTGAGGGGCCTTACTTGGAACAATATATCCTGTAACACTGAGTTACAAGGATTTCTGGGACTACGTGCATATGTGTCCAGCCCTAATGAATAGCTCAGACACAGTAGCCTTGCTGTTGAAGGCATCGAAAGGTCAACATGGCTCCAATCAAAGCATTGCTATCTAATAAAGCAACT